GAAGAACACCTTCTGATCTGTAAGGTCATATAAACGATAACCCTTGATTCCAGGTGGATATCCTAGAAAAACACAAGGTTTAGCTCTAGGTGAAAATTTGGTTCTGTTATGTGTCAATGTGCTAGCATAGCACAAACACCCAAAAACCTTTAGGTTGGATAGGTCAGGAGGAGTGCCATATAGTTGTTCATAGGGTGTTTTGTTTTGTAAAGCCACTGTGGGTAATCTGTTTATCAAGTAAACTGCATGAAGGACAAAATCTGACCAGAATTTAAGAGGTAAGCCAGACTGGAATTTTAGAGCTCTAGCAACATTTAGGATATGTTGGTGTTTCCTTTCTACTCTAGAGTTCTGTTGTGGAGTGGCAACACATGACATCTGATGAATGATGCCATGTTGAGAGTAGAAATCAGGGATATGGAACTCAGCACCTTGGTCTGATCTGATGATTTTGATGTGTTGGTTATATTGAGTGCTAACCAGAACGCAGAAATCTTGCAATAACTGTCTAGCCTCAGTTTTATGTTTCATGAGATAAATCCAAACACATCTAGATCTATCATCAACAAGGGTAAGAAAGTACTGATATCCATTGTAACTGGCAGTGGCCAAAGGCCCCCAAATATCTACATGAACAAGTTCAAAATTGCTCTTTGCCACATTTTGGCTTGAAGAAAATGGTAAATGTTTCTGTTTGGAAAGGTGACAAACATCACAATGAGAAAAGGATCCTATAGAAATGTCTGGTATAGTCTTCTGTAGTTCTTTGGCTCGAAAAATTGAAGGATGACCAAGCCTCCAATGCCATAGATCAAATGATTGGGGTGACAAGTTTTGAGTCTTGATGGAATTAACAAGAGTGGTAGTGTCTTCTGGATGTATAGTAAGTCGATAAAGTCCTCTAGTCTCTTGGGCAAAACCAATCCTCCTCTTGGTTTGAAGGTCCTGGATGTGACAAATGTTGGACTCAAATGTGAGAAAGACTGGCATGGACTTAGTGAGCTTACTAACCGAGACTAGGTTGAAAGAAAAGGCTGGAACTAACAATACATCATGAATGACCAGTTCAGATGTAAGTCTAACACTACCACAATGTGTAGCAGGAGTTCTAGATCCATCAGGTAAGGTTATGAGGATACCTTGGACTGGTTTATACTTAAGGAAATTGGAAACAGAACAGGTGACATGATCAGTGGCACCCGTGTCAAGAAACCAAACACTGACAAATTCCATTGGATGCTTAAGGAAGTATGAATTTAAAGTGAATTTACCTGAGAAATTAGGGTTCACAGATAGGTGCCTACTCAGTGAGTTGACCATAGGAGTTGATTGCTGATTGACTGAAGCCAGGTTTGATCCACTAGTAGCAACAGGAGAGGTTGGAGATGCTGGGGGACTGTACTGGTTGAGTAGCTTTTGCAGACGACTTAGATCATCATTGGAGAGCCTGATGTTGGTGTACCCATCATTGCCTTCAGGCACACTCTTAGTTTCAGGTTTGGGCAGAATACCAGCTCCAACAGTGTCTTGTCCTTGAATTTGTCCTGCAAACCTAGAAGTTCCCCCTGATTCTCTGTTCTTCCTTTTCAGCCTATAGCAATCAGCTATAACATGTCCTTCCTTCTTACAATATCGGCAAAACAATCCTTCCTTCACATTCTCTTTACCCCTATTCTGATTTGCAGCAAGCAGGGCAACAGTATCTACTTGTGACTCAGGGTTAGGTTTAGCAACTTGTCTTTCATGCTGTATAGCATAATGAAAAGCAACCTCCATAGATGGGAGTGGTTGCATCATGAATAGATTGGTTCGAACACCACCATAAGCATCATTCAAACCAGTAATAAATCTAGTAACGAATTCATTCTCTCTATACTTCTTCACTGTAGCCTCAGTGACACAAGGAATAGCTGGGTTTCTTGCAAGACCTCCACACTCACAACTGGGTATAGGAAGAAATTGCACAAGTTCTTCCCAAAACCCTTTCAGCTCTGAGTAAAATTGGTTAACAGATTTGTTACCTTGCTTAAGAGTATAGAGAGCAGTTTGCAGATCTATGATTCTGATGTTGTCTGCCTGTCCAAAACGTTGCCTCAGATCTTCCCATAAGAGTCTCGCATTGTCTTGTGAAGAGACAGAATCAACCAAACTTGGATCGAGGGAACCCAGAATCATGAAGTATACTGCTGTGTTGCTTTGCTCCCAGGCGGCATAAGTCTCTGAAGATGGATCTGGTGCAGTAATCGACCCATTGATAAACCCAAGCTTGTTTTTGCTCTTGAGGGCAACACGAACAGTTCTGCTCCATAAGTTGTAATTTCCAGTACCTGTGAGTTTGATTGGAAAGACTAACGACTCATTTGGGTTGATATAGTAAGGGTTTGTGACGGTACTCAGGTTGGTAAGAACACCAGAGGTAGCAGCAGAAACAGAAGAAGAAGAAGAAGAAGAGGAATCAGTAGCCATTGTGGATGAACACTACTGTAACCAAAGAATGCAGGTATGAAGAGGGTGTAGAAACCCTAGAAAGCCCAACCAGGCTCTGATACCATGTGAAATTTTGGTAAAAGATAAGGTTGGTGTGAAACCCGCAAGGGTTTTGGGTGCCTCAGAGGGCCTTTTATATACTGAAGAAGAAAAGGTAAAGCTGTACATCCAAAACTCTGTTAACGGTAACTAAAACAGAAAATTAAACTAACTACCAATAACCAGATGACAGCTAGCTATCTACAGTATAATTGGAAACGGTAGTTGCTTAAGTGAGACAATGTCATCTTAACTCAGCTCCTCTATTGCTTCCGAGGAAAACGACGCCGCACCACGAGCTCAGTCAGCAACCACCATGGACAGCTTCTTCAACCTTCGACTTCCAGCTCTGCAGATCGTAATACATACAGAAGAAGAAGCAGTACTTTACCCATAATCTCTCTCTCCTTTCTGCTGTTAAACAGTGGAAACAGTACTTTGATATATATTAATGATGCTGGATTATTGATAATGAAGAAACCTGGACGAGGGTTTCAATCCCTTTTATACTAAACATTTAGGCCAGTTTCGTTGGCCGGCATGCACAGTCCTGCAATTTCAGGCATCTCAAATTGAGCTAAGTAACATTAACATATGAATGTAGCTTTGAATAACAGAAGTACCGATGTATGGTTTTTGGGTTACTTCCTGAAACGTCCCTTGGTTTCAGATGTTTATCAAACTATGCTGCCGTGCGTCTCATACGCTTGGAAACTACGTACAATGGCAAATACAAAGAGTTCGGACTAATCTGGAAAACAAATGACATTACGATTTGTTCCACTGAATTTGGAGATATACATACCAATTATAGTATCTCAAAATAATGTTCGTATTCTTTGATGTTTCCTCTGATTGATTCACTTGTGTTTCTAGCTAGAAGTTTTCCCACTTGTTGTTGATGACCATGCCAACAAATAAACTCGCTAACTCCATTTGAAATCGTCGTTTTCTAAATTTCCAATTGCGCTCCAATAATCGAACAAATTTTCTAGCAGAATCATAACCAAAGAAAGTGAGCTTCCCCTCCATTGTGACAACGCCGAGTACTCTGGCCCTTGCGACATTCTTGTCCAAGTTCAAACTCCCACTCGTCCGCAACTTCATCTTCCATTCCTTGTCTGTCGCCACTTTCATTATCACTACCAAAAGCATCATTCACCTCCCCCATTCTCAAATATAACTTTCCGTGACGCCCTCCATCAACTAAAATTAAATAATCACTCATCACTACAACAGAATCTGCCTTTTGTGACGAGTAAAAATGGTCGCTAAATGTCATAATTTAGTCGCAAATCCTATGTTGTGACCAAAAGAAATTGGTAGAAGCTTTGGTCATATTTGCCGCGTTAGGAAAACCATTTTGTGATCAAGTTTTGAGTTTGGTCACAATACATCGTGTTTTTGTGACGGAAGACCCAATTGGTCACAATTGTTTTTTATTTGCAACCAAGGCAATTGGTAACAAAAAAACTGTCAAAATAGTCACGAAAGAATACCTGATTGGTCACAAATAACATGAAAACCAACCAATTCATATATTATTTACCAACCAAATGATTAAGTCACAGAAGCCATTATTTAAAACCAAAAAATTTGGTTACAAAACTATTCTTCATAGCTAATGTAATTATCATTAAGTAACAAAAAATTTTGGTTATGAAACTCTTATCCTTACCAATTTTTTTATGGTCGCTAATAATCCAAATATGAATAGTAATTATGGTTGTAAAAAGTATATAAAGTAACCAATCTATTCGTTCAAAAATAACTATTTTCATTGGTGATAAATATTATTTCCAACCAATGTTTTATGGTAACCATACGTTCTAAATGTAACCATTTTTTTGGTTATAAATTGTTCTAAATATGACTGCTAATTTGGTTGTATATATATTAGTTGAGAAAAGCTATTGATTTGGTTATAATACCATAACGTAATGCAAGCAATTTAGCCCATAAAGGTCACATTACATTTCCAACCAAATACCAACTTACATGAGTTCATATCAGTTCTAATTCATTAAAGAAATACAAAAATACAAAAATGAGAAACTAAAATCTGCCAAAGAAATCACTTTGGCTTGAGAGATCACCCAGCTCCTTTAAATTTTTCTGCCCCTTGTTTGAAATACCTGCACCATATATAGTACAAACTGAGTGAACAAAACAAGATCCTTGGTTCTCAACAACAAATCAAAACAGTAAGCTGATCACGGCAAAGTACCTTATGAGTTATGAACAAGGAGAAGCCAAAGCAAGTATAACTTTACACTTTTACCAGCCTTTTTTTTTCAGCTTTAAACTTGTGAGTTCCCAAAGCACGTATCATTACCACCCAACCATTGTATTGCATGCATACAGATCAGTCCATACACAGTATTAGCTAAGGCAGTATTTGCATAGGCTATGAATTTCAAGAAGGAAACTATACACTTGTACCAACCTCCTCCTCTCCTTGTAATCTTGTTCTCCTATTCCACAGCTCCCCTATGCAGGACCTGCAAAATTGCACCCAAGAAAAGTTAGTACTATTCTTTGTCAACTCCATTTCTGAAGTTTATACGTTCAGTTACCTCAACCAGACTTGCCAAACATTTTTGCATCTTCCTCTGTATTAAACCTCTAGTGCACTGTTGAAAAGATGTCAGTAAAAGTGTACATCATTGTTGGTTGGGTTGTGCCTCTTCTCATGTCAAACAGACGGGGAAAATATAGCATCTTGATTAGAATTCCTGTTACCTTATTGTGATTTTTGATGTAGGAATAGAATGCATCATCCAGACTGTTTTCTCTAGCTTCTTGCCTCAACATGACGTGAACAAATATCTCTGCCAATGTGTAAACATGAAATCCAACCGCGTATAAATTCTCATCTCTCAGTTACCAAGCAAGAGAATTGCATATAAAACTAGCAACTATTCCGGGCTTCTGATACAAATGGCGATTTAGAGCAAGATGCCAAGGAAGCTTCCAGTTGAATTATTCTACTGGTTTGGAAAGGAAACAAAGAGGGTAAACATTTATTCTATTGCCTTTGCAATTTCAATTGCACTGACAACAGACCTGCATCGAAAGGGGACCAAATCACATACCCCACTCACTGAGAATAGTGACTAGTGAGCAAAGGTGACAAATGACAGAAAACGTATTGGTTAACATCAGAAGACGGGTGCTACCCATTCTGCAGAATAGCCAAAACCTTAGAAAGCTAAGGACCAAAAGACTCACTTAAGGGTTGTCAGACTTCTCAACCTCCGAAATTGGCCTTCACAGCCATGAAATTGACCAAAGTTGGTTCATAGGATCCTACCAACTGGAAATTGACCAAAGTTTCCCGATCGAGCTGCAAGAAGTACCAAAGAGGGTGAAAAAACACATCCTTCTCTGAATTACTCAATGCATCTTGATTCTAACAGTCTCTGTAAACTGTAGCTGTAATAGATTGAAGTTTCCAGGGCAAGCGATTCTCATTAGCCAGATTATGAAGTTTCCACACTATTCCTAAATAGTGCAACACAAATCATTAATAGAGCAAGGTCAACGAAGTGGAACCAGAACATTCTTCTTCTTCTTCTTCTTCTTCTTCTACATTGTGAAATAGATTCAACAACTGAATTTGCAAAATCGATTCAATAATCTTGAAAATTGATATCCTGCTATATCAAACCTTACCTTAAGACACCCTTTGGGAAGCTTCCTTGGTCAAGAGTTTCTCCTTGGCTTGTGTACTGTTGTCGTTGTTAGTTGAATTGTGCCTCTTCTCTTGTCAATCAAAAGGGGAAAACATAGCATACTGATTAGGATTCATGTTACCTTATTGTGGTTTTTGACATAGGAATAGTTGTTCCCAAAAACCCAACAAACCATCATTTAAGACCAGAAGAAGAAACATAAGAAAGCATAAGTTAGAAATAGTAAAAGGAGAGAGAGAGAGAGAGAGAGAGAGAGAGAGAGAGAGAGGTACTTACTGGGTGTAGTAGTAACATCACTTTCTTGCTGGGGAGATGCAGTTGAGGCCATGAGTTGATCTTCACCAGGAGTACAACAATAAGAAATACTTCACTGGAGACAAACAAAGTACCAAGAGTAAGATATTACAACTTAAATGATTGAAACGCATCCACACCAGAATTTACTTTCACAACAGTGAATATAGAAGAGATTCAAGCAAACATGAGGCCCAACTTATGTGTTAGTTAGTTGCTAAACAAGAACATATAGCTAATTATTCCAAAAATCAGTTCACTGCATCAGCAGCTGAGATCGTCCAAAATATTCTAGCAGTGTGGGCTATATAGCCAAGAACATTTAGAGTAACGACTGAGCCACTAAGAGACGAGAAACACACCTGCGTTTCTTGACGCGATCGTTTATCTGTCTGGCGAGCATCTCATGGTGAGTGGAGACAGAATTGGAGATGACACAACCTGTCTTATTATGAGCAAGAGGACCTTTTTTGCCATTTCCCATGAAACCCAGCAGTACAACAGCGAGAATAGCAGTGAATACACAGATAAGTTAATCATAATAGTAAATTATTTTGACTCGACAAGTTGCATTGACACTCAAAAATCAACCATTTGACTAGAAATCTTTGCTAAGTGACCCTGTTATTTCATGAAGGCACTAGCAGAGGCATCTTATGGCTTCATTACCTCCTTCCCTTCAGGATGTTCACATGCACAACATTGTGCTTGGTTCCTAATAGCCTTTGTCCTCGTAATATTTCTTCAAAAGAACAAACAAAATGATGCTCAAGCAACTCATTTCGGTATAAAGCAAATGGTCAAATAAGGTCACTCCCAGCAAATCAGTATATAATATAACAATGACATGAGGATATGATTATATTAAATATGAGAATGAAGCATAAAAAAAGTAAAAGTCAGGCATACTTCTATTGGACTTGCTTCCCCTGGTGCCTCTATCAGCAAATCTACTTCGACCGTCTGCATTTTCGCCTACTGCACATACCAAAGTTCTCCTGTTTTACATAAGTAAGAAGTAAGAAGGAAGCAACAGCCAACAACATGTAAATTGCTGGACTTGCTTGAATTTAAGATTCTCGGTCTTTTCTAGATTCATGAAGCAAAAGTATCTTTATCATGTTTAACTGCTACTCAGTAATCATAGTCTAAGCATTCTTCACGAGAAAGAATTGTTATCCCTAGCTTAGTTTCCTTAATCTTCTTTCCAGTAGAACTTCCATGACCCAGATTCCTACAAGTTGAACTATGACCTCAACTTGCAATTTCCTTATTCTTACTTTGAAACCATTCCTTATTCTTACTTTGAAACCATGATCAAACACAGAATTAGACTGCAATCAGAATAGAATACTTACTCTTGGATTTTACTGACCAGGTTGGGGAGCCACCTTGATTCTCCATGTCTGAAGCCAGGACAGCTTCGTACAATAGCTGCTAAATGCCTACAAGCAGACAACGAAATACTTCAGCTTCTCAGGGTTATAGAAAGGTCGAAACGGCAATCAAAGAAGAGTGGTTTACTGGCAAAAATGGAACTCCCGTCAAATGCAATTAGGCAAAATAAAACCAAACTGAGGCAGTTTGGAGGCCTATGCTTTCATCTCTGGCTGTTAAAACAACCAAAACGCCATTAGAAGCCAACTGCTTGCAAATCTCAAACCCAATCCCCTTGTTTCCTCCCGTGACCACCAGGAAAATCACACCATGAGGGAGCAATAACCAGGAAAATTGAACAGTTCATTTTCAACGGAGTTAAAAAAACAACAAAGCCGCTAAGATATAGACCTCACCTGCGATTCAGAACATTGTTGCATGTAGATGATGCGGCCAGTCTTGATGCGGTCCTTGAACTTGCCTGGTGAGGAATGTGTGGCGAGTGGAGACTGAACCGGACTTGGAAGAGTTGGCGGTCATCTCGCGGTCAATGGAGTGAGTAGCGGCGGTGATCTCGCGGGAGACGGAGTTTGCGTCGACTGCGATTTCGCGAGCGAAGGAGTTTGAAAGATTGAGCTGCGACAGCTAGGGATTTGGAACGGTCGGCGGCGATCTCGCGGGCGAAGAAGTGAGCGGCGACGGTGAACTCGCGGGCGAAAGAGTGAGTGGCGAATGCCATTTTGCGGACGAAGGAGTTTGGGAGATTGAGCGGCGATGGCTAGGGATTTGGAAGAGCCAGCGGACCAGAATGATGGATATCGAAGCGACGAGTCTGTATTCCTTTCTTGAAAGAGTTGCTTCAATAATTTCGCTTTTATTGGCGGCATAGACTTAAAAGAAATGTGGATTAGGAATGACACAGGTTGTTGCAGCAAAGGATGGAGGCAACTCCCATTCAGCCGACAGACGACAAACACAAATCCTTTTATTACCAATATTTTTAGTCATATAGAGGTCAATTTGGTTATAAATATTTTCCTTTAGTTGGTGACTATTTTTGCATGTTAACGTGACCAAAAATATTAGTTACTTTAAAAAGTATGAAGATGATTAACAAATAGTTTTGGTTATGAAAAGAATTTCAACATTTCATTACCGAATTTTTTGGTTATATCAAATTTAATTTGGTTATAAAAAATCTTTTATTAATTAGTAACCAATTCATCAAACTTTTCATTACCGAAAAATAATTGGTTATAAATAATAATTTTTTGGCGACCAAAAAAAAATTAGTTGCATCGAAAAGGTCACAAAAAGACACATTTGTTGTAGTGCATGTTCATTGTCCCCTTACCATCAAGTAAGTCGACGTACGTAGCTTGATAATGTTGGGGCCTGAACTTGATCTCAAGGGAGCTCAAGCTGCAGAAGTCAACAATCTTGACGTACGGGAAGAAGCAATATGAGCTGGCAACACATCCATACTTTATTTTCTTCCTATATTTCCAATTGATCGAACAAGGATTAAGCCCATCAAATAGCTTATCGTTGACAATCCTCCATTCATCAAGAGCATCGTTTCTCCTAATATTAAAAGAGCATTGTTTTCAGTGGCGGACCCAAAAATTTTTTATAGGGGTGTCCTCTTTTAAAAAATTAAATAAATAAAAATAAATAATAAAAGTAAAATTGTAAATATGAAAATACCTTGCTCGTACAGGTTAAAAAAAGTCCATGATGTGTTTTCATATTCGGAAATAATTATAGAATACACTTGGTGTCTATAGTGTTAAAACATTGTCTCTATATACCCTACTAGACTACCATTCACGAACTTATCGCATATTCAATTTGTAAACTTGTTCTTGATGTAACCCAAACCTAAAAGACTCTTTCAACACTTGCCATATAATCATAAAATCAATACAAATCAATGGTAGTTTGAAATTAGTATAATTGTAGGTTTTTAAAATAATTAGAGATAGGGAATGTCATTTTACTATTACACATTGTTCAAAATCGAACAACAAATAAGTTGTAGCTCAACGGAAATTAAGTTTATTAATAATAATAGTGTTCTAGATTTGAATTATTTAACCTACCACGTATATTCCTATACACAAATGACAGTAGGATAATCATTTTTTCAAATTTAAGGGGTGTCCCTCACTATCAATTTTTTTTTGTCCATACGTAAATTACCATAGGGGGTTGGATAATCGTTTTCCCAAAATTTAGGGGTGTCCCGGGACACCCCTAAAACCCCCTGGGTCTGCCCCTGATTGTTTCCCACCAGAATTAACCTTGGGCTTCGAACACATGTCGAAATAGCGTCTTGCTTCTTCTTGCATGGCCCACATGGACTCGGTAGCAATCGATGACGTTATAAGGATTGGCGGCGCAGCAGTACGTATTAGGGACAAGTCTTTGTCCGTCTAGATGTTGTAGTCCTTGTCATACTTGTATTCAATCTCCTTAGTATAGTTGTTTTACGTTTCCTTGTTACAAGCGGTATCATGTATTATTATGGGTATAAATAAAACCCTTATATCAATAACATAAACTCATGGTTGATAATCCTTACATGGTATCAGAGCCTCTTGCTTAACAACCTCTTGATACCTCCAACCCTAAACTTCCCGTTTGTTCCTTCTTGTCGACAGCCGCCATGTCCCCCGACTTCGTCTCTTCCGACAGTCCTTCCGCGGCAACAGGAGCTAAGTCGACTGCGCTGGTAACGTTCAACCCAGTTGCTTCTCTTCCACTCAAGCTCATCGCAGCCAACTTCCCTTGATGGCGACTCAGTTGTTCTCGCTCCTTCATGTCCATGATTTATTTGGCTATCTCGACGGCACAGTTGTTCCCCCTGCCGCAACTATTTAGGTTGATAGTGTTGTAGTCCGAAATCCTCTCTACACTCAATGGTTTTGGCAAGATCAGCTCCTTCTCAATGGTATCTTTGCATCCGTCTCAGAATCAATTCTGCCCTTCATTAGTGTGTCCGCTACCTTTACCGAGGCTTGGGCCTCCTTGCTTCGTCTATACGCCCATAAATCTCGCTCCCGGGGTATGACTCTTCGGGACTGTCTCCTTGTTGAGACGAAAGGTGACCGTGATGTCGTTGCCTTTGTTTAGTCCATTCGCTCGATCGCCGCTGAGATAGCGCTTGCTGGCTCGCCTGTTCTCAATGACGAGCTCGTCACCGTTTGTCTCCGTGGTCTTGGTGATGATTATCGTAAGTTCGCTGTTGGAATTCGTGCTCGTGATGTTCCTCCTAACTTGGAAGACTTACTTGATCGTCTTATCTCTCTCGAGGCTGATATCAAAGCCACTCATCGCGATCAGCCTGCTACCGCCTTTGCTACTCAACGCGGGAGGGTATCCTTTCGATACCGTCGTGGTGGTGCTCCCGGCCAGGGTGGCGGCCGTTCCTCCTCTAGTGGTCCGCCTCCATCCCCCGGATACTCTTCATCTCTTATGCCATGGGAACCTCCGTCCTCTTGACTCTGGTGGCGAGCAGCTTCGTCCTCGTGTCTACTTTCAGTATTGCGGAAAGCCTGGCTACAATGCTCGCCAGTGCTATCAACTGTTTCCTCAAGAGCGCCTTGCTTAAGCCAATCACACCGCTAGGGCATCCTCCTCTTCTGGTCCTCGTCAGGACTCCTAGTTGATAGATTCTGCTGCCACTCATCACATCACTCCTGATCTTGGTAACCTTGGCTCTATTCTGACTACAATGGGCCTGATGAAGTTTATCTTGGCGATGCGTATCACCCATATTGGTTCCTCTCATTTACGCTCGTCTAAGTCTACGCCACCCACTCTTCATGATATTTTTTTGTGTTCCTACTCTTAAGAAGTGTCTTATTTCCGTCGCTAAGCTTTGTCATACTAATCCGGTATCGGTTGAATTTTTTGACGATTCTTTTGCTGTGAAGGACCTAAGCACGGGGGCCCCGCTGCTGAAAGGAAGGAATAGAGGCGACACTTATGAGCTTCCTGGCGCGTCGCAGGCTGTGCGGTTGGCACTGGTCACTACTCGGAATTCCGTAGATTGTTGGCATCGTCGTTTTGGTCATCCTCCGTTTAAGTCTCTGCCTCGTTTAATTCATACTCATTCTATTCATGTGTCTCCAAAATCTAGTATTTCCCATGTTTATCTTTTCTTTCTAATAAGAGTCACAAACTTTCGTTTTCTAATTCAAATCTGTCTAGTACTTGCCCACTAGATTTAATCTTTTCTGATGTATGGGGTCCTGCTCCTGTTACTTCTATTGATGGTTATTCATACTATTTAGTCCCTTTTGGTCATTTTACTAGATATACATGGATCTATCCCATTGAATATAAATCTGATGTGCTAGCTACTTTCACTACGTTTCAAAAGCTTGTTAAAACTACTTTTCTACTTGCATATAACGATTATATACTGATGATGGTGGTGAATTTTAAAAGCTTAAAAACACCTTGATTTCTAGTGGCATCACTCATTTACTCACTCCTAAACATAATGGTATTTCTGAAAGAAAGCATCGTCACATTGTTGAAACTGGTCTTTCACTTCTCCATCAGGCTAAGTTGCTTCTTACATACTGGTCTTATGCCTTCACCACTACTATCTATCTTATTAATCGTCTTACTTCTTCAGCTCTTCGCAGTCAGATTCCCTTTCAAGAACTTTTCAAACAACCTCCTAATTATACTAAATTTCGCATCTTTGGTTGTCTTTTCTTTCCTTGGCTTCGTCCATATAGCTCATATAAACTTCAACCTCGCTCTTGTGCTTGCATTTTTTAGGTTACCCTCACCAGCAAAGTGCTTATAAATGTCTTGATCCCACCTATAAATCGTTTCTTTTTGTCCCATCATTCGTCTTCGTTGAAATCGAGTTCCCTGGTGTCTCTTCCCCTAATCCTTGTTCCACTCCTTCTAGTGAGTCTTCCGCTTGGTTAACCGTCGTTACATTGCTGACATGCCCACTCTCAGCATGCCCATTCGTCGTCAGACTGCCCCTTTCACTCTTCGTGTGTTTTCCGACTCCGATTGGGCAGGTGATATTGATGATCGTACGTCTACTTCAGGCTTTCTTGTCTATCTTGGTGACACTCTCATTTTGGGAAGTCAAAGAAGCAACAGACTGTTGCTCGATCGAGTATCAAGGCTGAGTATCATGCCATTGCGTTGAGCACGTCTGAAATTCAACGGGTTCATAATCTTCTTCTCGAGCTTCACCACCCTCTCTCTTCTGCACTGCAGCTCTACTTCGACAAAAATGGTGTTGTTTCCTTAAGCTCCAATCATGTCTTTCACTCCCGCATGATGCACCTTCCTCTCGAATATCACTTCGTGTGTCAGCTTGTTCAATCAAAGCAACTGGTTGTTTCTTATGTGCCCACTGCGTCTCAACTTGCTGATGTGCTTACCAAGGGTCTACCAGTCATTCGCTTTTGCTTACTCTGATCCAAGATTGGGCTAGCTAACGCCGCCTCCATCTTGCGGGGGCGTATTAGGGATAAGTCTTTGTCTGTCTAGAACTTGTAGTCCTTTTCATACTTGTATTCAATTTCCTTTGTATAGTTGTGTTACATTTCCTTGTTACAATGTATCATGTATTATTATAGGTATAAATATACCATTGTATCAATAACATAAACTCACGGTTGATAATTGACTCGGTATGACACAACTCCTAACAATGGCCAAGTGTAACCAATGAAAGGGACTGCAGTATAGTGGCACAAGTAATAAATATCGAATCCATGGGTCTCTAGAGTTACTATTACTCAGCTTCAGTTCATTATCTAGCAAACTAGATTAAGGATTGATTTATAAACTACTCTACTGACTACTCTACTAATTACAAGTTGTGAACTCACTTAGGTATGATTCCCCCTAGCTCCTCAATTAGGTCCAAGTTGCAATTACCTTTGGTTGATCTACTTTTTGTTAAACTGCGGAAGATCCAACAGTAGCTTGGAATCTCTTAAGCTGACCAAGCCCTCTCAGTCCAACTACCCGGCAGGCGACTAACCTTCACCGGGATAGAAAGCTGAGGATATGAACACAGAACTCCACTATCGGAATTGGATTCCAGTACAAAGCAGTAGATTGACTAACTCTCGTATAACCAATTCACCACCATCAATCAAGGAAGCTCTCTTAACCTAATCAGATTCTATCTATCATAGGTTAAAGCAGAAATCAAGAGAATTTGATCAAGATTCAATTGACTCAATAAATCATGCCTCAATCGATTATAATCAAACAATATAGCATCAAAAACTTCATACAAGAAAGATCCTAACACATGGAACTAGGGTTCCTCAAAACCTACGTGAAGGGAAGTTACTCCAAAGAGAAGAGAGAGACTGCAGAAATCTGATCTAGATCTTCAATCTCCATCTCCAATCTTGATTTCCGAGCTCCAATAGCGAAGAAATCCTCCAAAATAGCTCCAAGAATGTTCCCAAGTCGCTCTCTCTCTCTAGGGTTCGTCCCTTGGGTGTTTGGGAACCAAAAACCCAGCTCTCCCCTTTCCTTTGGCTGAAAATCGAGTTTTAAACAGAAATTCCCAATCACGCGGCCAGGCCACATGGCCGTGTGGCTTTCCCAGCTGCCCGTGTGAAGGCTCGGTGATTTCCACACGGCCACGACCCACACGGCCGTGTGGAGTTCCAGGATGCCAGTGTGGCTTGCTCAGCCTCTGTTTAATGCTTCGTTTCTCCCTCGTTCGGACTCCGAATCAGTCCCCGTTTGATCCAAGACGCTCGTAGTCTCGTCCTCTTTCTTTTAATGACAGGCTTGCATGATTCTTTGTTCATAAAGTGATGTAGAAATCCATTCTTCTTCAGGTCATGCCCGAGTTTCTTCTCCCGAATCGTCAATTGATCTCTGATTGATTTGAAACTTGCGCCTATGCTTCACTTTATGTGCTAGGACCTAAAATGTGACAAAGGAACAAAAGCTAGCATAAAATAGGACAAAGACGCAATAAATCAAACTCAAACAATCTAGAAACAAAGGGGAAAACATGTGCAAATACCGAGTCATCAAATCCCCCCACACTTAACTGTTTGCTTGTCCCCAAGCAAACCTAACTCAAACCAATGCAGCTCTCCAGACCTCTATAGCAACAAACAACCCCGATCGTCGGTAGAGGATTTCCTAGATCATATAGCAGCTTACGAGGTCAACTGGTCTTCTAAGACGTCCCCTATCTCTCTCAATGTGAGTACTAGACTCAAGCCAGGAACATGAGAAGAAGTAGAAGTAAGACAGTCAGTTCATGGACAAAGGGACTCACACCATTCACAACCAAGGACTCGTTGTACCGGGGTGCTCTTTCACTTCATTTCATCGTTGGAACCCCTTTTTGCACTTTCATTTACATTTCTTTTTCTCTTTTTTTCTTCATTCACTTGGCGGGGGTTCCAACTGTAGTCTTTTGCACGGTCGACCCTTATTAGTCGAGCAAGAGCAATTTTTGTACATCTAGCGCTCTCCAGAGTACTTCTTTTAACTCCTTTTCCTCAACTCGTGTGGAGGGACAATGAAATCAAGGGGGGTCGGAAGCTCTATCTGTTCCCTTAAAAACACATCCTCAAGTAGGCAAACCGTTCAACGGGTGAAAATTTTACTTGTACTAGAGACAGCTTAGCTTCACCTTGTAGGAGTACCCCACTAAGGATCATTAAAATCTCTTCCAAAACCCGATTTTGTGCAATGAACGGTGCCACACACGTTGGGCTTACCCCATGTTTAAGATTTCAATGATTTCGACATGGAGGACCAACTGCTTCCCATTTTCCATATGAGCACCCTAATCGATACACGAGTCCATAACACAATCCAAACAGAGTCACCATTACCACATGAATTCAACGGTCTTAGCTCCACTACTTCACAAAATCAACTGACACAACAGAGAGCTACATAGGAAAAATCTTATACTTCAACATCCTCCATAGTGCTACACTACCTCCCTAGGTTGCACATTACTATAGAGAAGTCGATTCAAAGCATACTGAGCAGGCAATTTGCAAGGAAACACGTACTTGGAGCCCTCAAATTTAAAAATTTGGACAGTGGACTAGGCTCCAAGCACACAAACAGCCAAACATTCACCCGCATACATAATCGAACACCCCCCCACACTTAAGCACGACATTGTCCTCAATGGAGGAAAGATAAGGAGGGTAGAATGAAGTTACTAGATCAAGGGTGAATGATGATGGACGGGTCAGGCGGTGCATTCCAGGAAGAGAGAGTAATCAGAACGCAAACACCACACAAAATCTCACAAAGGTTGAGTTATTGACTCTAAAATCAAATAACAAAACTGACTCAACCGAGGAGAAATAGAGAAAGAAATGCAAACCGACTGGTTGGGTTGCCTCCCAACAAGCGCTTCTTTCACGTCGTGAGCCAGACAATGGCTCCTAAGTTTCGGTCCATGCTAGAACCTCCTTGAAGTTGAGGTTCTCGTCAATGAGGTGGAGTCGCAAGTCACGAGCATGTGGTATGGCTGGTGATGGAAGCTCGTGCAATTGATGCAGATGAAGTCTCCATCCTCGAGACCTCTTCTTCTCTTCTCTCGTCTCATTGCCCCAAACCATATATGACAACATCGATTGACCACCATCGCGTCCACCAAGAGGGACCGATGTCGATGTGGCCTTGGTCTGGCAAAGAGACATTGCAAATGGGTCCTTGCTAAGTAGTTCCTCAAAGTTTGGTGGGTATATTACATGTATTATAGGGCCGGTGCAAGCCTCTTCCACCTCAACTTCATCCTCAGCCTGGACACCACTCTCTTCTTCAAGCCCCCTTCCTTCTTCATGTGGTATCACCCCTGGGAAATGATCAAGAACTCCTTCTGCTTAACTTTCGTCATCCTCCACAACTTCTTTATGCACCCTTTCTTGCTCTTCTTCTTCTAGCACGGATTGGAGAGAAAGCTGCCAAGCAATTTCTTCAATGAGATCATCTTGCATCTCCTCGCTTGGGTCCAGCATGTTAGAGCAGAAATAAGGAAATGTGTGATCTGCAACCAGAGGACTTTCCTGATCATGATTATCATGGGAGTTCTCTGTGATAACTTCTGTATGCTCCTCAACATCCCCGTAGCCTTCGTCATCCTTCACCTCTTCTAGCGTGGTAGCAGAAAGGTGATCTTGAGCAAGATGTGAGAAAACTTGCTCCACCCAATCTGTTTGCTTCGCTGAGCGTTGAACAGTCTCCTCCATTTCATGGAGAAATGAGGGATCGGAAGGGGCAAGGGCTTTGATTTGAGGATCCATCTTGGAGCATGATCTCTCAGACTCTCGAGCAAACTGCTCCACGAGAAGCCTTAATTGTTTGTTTGGATCTTCCACTGAAGTGTAGCATGGCTCTGCAGAGTGGCCCGTGAAGGCCGCCATGGGTAACTCCAGCTCCAATGGCCATTCTGGTTGTGGCAGAATGTCTTCTTGATAAGGAGGTTGTTCTTGATATGCCCAGGGGTCTGATTGTTCACCGTAGTAAGGGGGTTGGTACTGGAACCCGAATCCATAGTCTTCTCCTCCTTGATTGCTCCAGGGGGTCTCGGGGTAATACCAATCAGATGGTGGTGGATACCCCAATGGTTGCAGAAGCCATGAGGATCCATGATTCATATCTGCACTAACAAAAACGAAAACACCCAAGTGAAAAGCAAGGGTGGACAAAAACTTGACTCGATATGACACAACTCCTAACAATGGCCAAGTGTAACCAATGAAAGGGACTGCAGTATAGTGGCACAAGTAATAAATATCGAATCCACGGGTCTCTAGAGTTACTATTACTCAGCTTCAGTTCATTATCTAGCAAACTAGATTAATGATTGATTTATAAACTACTCTACTGACTACTCTACTAATTACAAGTTGTGAACTCACTTAGGTATGATTCCCCCTAGCTCCTCACATAGGTCCAAGTTGCAATTACCTTTGGTTGATCTACTGTTGGTTAAAATGCGGAAGATCCGACAGTAGCTTGGAATCTCTTAAGCTGACCAAGCCCTCTCAGTCCAACTACCCGGCAGGCGACTAACCTTCACCGGGATAGAAAGGTGAGGCTATGAACACAGAACTCCACTACCGGAATTGGATTCCATTACAAAGCAGTAGATTGACTAACTCTCGTATAACCAATTCACCACCATCAATCAAGAAAGCCCTCTTAACCTAATCAGATTCTATCTATCATAAGTGAAAGGAAGTTACTCCAACGAGAAGAGAGAGACTGCAGAAATCTGATCTAGATCTTCAATCTCCATATCCAAGCTTGATTCCCGAGCTCCAATGGCGAAGAAATCCTCCAAAATAGCTCCAAGAATGTTCCCAAGTCGCTCTCTCTCTCTAGGGTTCGTCCCTTGGGTGTTTGGGAACCAAAAACCCAGCTCTCCCCTTTCCTTTGGCTGAAAATTGAGTTTTAAACATAAATTCCCGATCACGTGGCCAGGCCACACGGCCGTGTGGCTTTCCCAGCTGCCCGTATCAAGGCTCGGTGATTTCCACACGGCCACGACCCACACGGCCGTGTGGAGTTCCAGGATGCCCGTGTGGCTTGCTCAGCCTCTGTTTAATGCTTCGTTTCTCCCTCGTCTGGACTCCGAATCAGTCCCCGTTTGATCCCAGACGCTCGTAGTCTTGTCCTCTTTCTTTTCATGACAAGCTTGCATGATTCTTTTTTCATAAAGTGAGGTAGAAATCCATTCTTCTTCAGGTCATGCCCGAGTTTCTTCTCCCGAATCGTCAATTGATCTCTGATTGATTTGAAACTTGCACCTATGCTTCACTTTATGTGCTAGGACCTGAAATGTGACAAAGGAACACAACCTAGCATAAAATAGGACAAAGACGCAATAATTCAAGCTCAAACAATCAAGAAACAAAGAGGAAAACATGTGCAAATACCGAGTCATCAATAATCCTTACAGTACGGACAACAAAGTTGAACGTTGGAGCAAGGAGCGGTTCCTCCTTTCTAACGATCTCTGGCGGCAGCTCTTCCGATGGTGGTACGATTGATGGTACGGTTGGGACGGTGATGACCGGTGGTGATATGGCGATGGTTTCAGAGCTAGGGCTAACTCCTACATAGCCGGTTGACGTCGGGGGCAGCTGATTATTCTACACGTGATAAAGATGTAGATGCATCAACGACGCCCTCTTCCTTCGGAGTGGACGCAAAGATGATGGTGGCGAGTGCCGTTGTTGGAACAACAGTAGTGGTCTCCATAGTTTCCTCCTCAGTCGTCGTGACATCCTCCTAATTGGTCGTGGCTGCGGTGATGGGAGCCGTCAAAAGTGATTGGAGCTTTTGGTAGGACGCTTGAGAGAACGCTTTCATCTCGGCTAGCTAGACCAAGACATCCTCCACGCTGACGTTCCTGAGGGCGGCGGGTAGTGCTGGCGGTTCGTCCCTCACAGCTGCGGCGGAATGGATTCCTCGTTCGACAACAACGGAAGATGTTGGTGTTGCTACGAAGAGCTTTGCGTTGATCGGAGTCACATGACGACGGAGGCTGTGTCACATGACAGTGATACTTCTCCTTGTATTGATTCCACTGGGCGAGCCACTCCTTCATTATGATAAGCAACATGATTTTGCGGTGCCAGAGAACTAGATAGCGTGTGATGATAGTGCTGGTAACTAGGGGTGTTCAAATGGTTACCATGGTTATAACCAAATCAAATAAGACTAAATTCCATTAACCATGGAATACAATATCATAACCAAACCGTCCAAACTAATACAACAACCAAATTAACCAAACTAAAGTTTAATCGGTTTGGTTAATTGGTTAACTAGATTAACCAATATAAAATCACATTATCATTGACGATGAAATTTTTTTAGTTAATGCAACAATTCGTAATTTATATAATGAATAAAACATTACAATCAACACGTAGTTATAGTTGACCCTTAACAAAATACATGAAACTAAGACAATTATCTTACGATTAGTATAGAAGTATTCACCTAACAAAAATTTATGACAATGGTATGGGACTATGTGTTAATGAATTGTTGTGTTTGTGTAAATTGACTTAGTCTCTTAGCAATTATCATAGGCTAGAAATGACCTTCCTTTCAAGTTTTCATCCATCATAATGTATGAAATTTATCTAAATTATGCGTCCATATGTTGTGGTCAACACTTTACATATACAAATGTACACTGTATGAGCAATATTGAGCTTTATATTTTATGAGTCTAAAAGGGATGAACGTTAACTCTTGAGTGGTTATGCAAAGTATTAAGTATGTGTATATAATATATGTTAGATATATGACTAATTACTTAACTGGTTAATTTGGTTTGACTGGTTAGGAGTGTCTGAAACCAAACCAACAAACCACCGAAACCAAACAAGCTAAAAACTTTAACTAAACCAAACCAATTATCCAAATTAACCAAACCAAATTATCCAAATAGTACCGGTTAAAACGGTTACCACGGTAACCAAACCGTTTGAACACCCCTACTGGTAACCTGGAACCTGGTTGTTGAGCAACCAGGTTCTGATACCAATTGTTACGTAGATTTTCTGGATTAGAGCTTCCACGCAACGTGTCTTTCACGAATCGAACAAAGGAACTCGATAATGGCTTTAGAACGAAAAGAAATAGACTTAGGACGAAGAGAAATATTGAGGATCGAAAACTACTACTAAGCTACTACTAGCTACTTGGGTTCCAATCTTCTCATATTATTAAACTAAAGACACAATACATATTTATAGGCATAGGAAGCCTCTGCCTTCTCTTATCTAGAACATGAATACTACTCCCACAAGGAAACGATAACCAAATTCTAAACATACTAAAAAACAATCACAATCCTATTAAGACAAGTAAACAATTATAATATCTAAATTAATACAAAACACTAACTAAATAATAAAACTACAAAAAATAGATGAGCCCATAAATTTCTAGATTATTATGAATGGCTCGTATCGTAACAAATTCCATTTCATGTAAATAATATATAAATAATCAGTTCACATTTTTGTGAATAAATCAACTGATATTTTTAATACAATTATGAATAATTCATTCAATATAAAAATATTGATATGCTTGTGTTTAGTGATAATGGGCCGCTATTTTAAAGCCCATAGTGCAATTTAGTTTGCGTTTGATCCGGTCCTTCATGACAAACACCAAATAGTTAATGTTCACTACATTTGTGGCATGGCTCGAGATGGTGCTACTAGCTAGCCTCGATTATGTCACACGCGAGGATCATATTGTACACTAAGGTGTTTTCTACTGGTTGTCACTCCTACTCTGCTGGCAAATTGATGAATTGAGCCCTCCATCAATTTAAAGGAGATTGTTGAATGATAGTGGGCCATGATTGTATAGCCTATAGCCCCATGCGTAGTTTATATGTTATTTTGGATATCTATTCGTCATTTCTAGTTTTGTCACCACAGAGCATATCAGGTGACAACTCTAAATTTTGTCACATTGTCGTAGGATGTATTTTTAAAATGGTTTTTCGCAGAAGGTTCGATGTTATAAAAAAAATTCAATTTATCTAAAGTCAAACTTTTAGAGTTGTTTGGTCATGTTCAACTTTTGAAGCAAAAAAAAATTATTCTAAAAGCCAAGCCAAACATAGATTATATGTAACTAGCTAGGAGGCCCATGAATGCTTGGTCAGCAGACCACCAATCTTTTTGTTATATTCTATGATCAAGATTCCATGATTGATTTATAATATGGTGGATTGTTATAATAAAATAAAAGAAGAACCAATATTTTAGTTTAAGTTAGTGAATATGATTTGAGTAAAAAATAAATGGGTTTGGGATGCAAAGTCCCAACAACTAGCTACTATCTCACTTTACCTCAATGTTAGTCTGAGGATTGTACCTGGGCACTGAGTAGGCTGCCCACGGGTTAGCACAAGCATCACGACACTGTTAGAGAAAGGCGTAAAATATATGAGCCAACATGGCACGAACATGAATACTTTATGGGTGATGTCGTACCTTTGGAGCCGCCAATGGAAACCTCAGGCCAACGATCCCACTTGCAGCCTTCGGAGCAACCAAGGCTACAGAAGGGAAAGGAGCGAAGACAAAACTCCACCATGACCCCTCCAGCACCGATCGACAACAGCCACGCAAACCGCCAACAAAGCGGAAACCATCAAAATCGGTCGGCTGGCGATGAATGCAAAGGGAAGGTCTTCGGTCTTCAAAGCTTCTCCAACCGAGTCCATGCCAAGAGGCTAATCTCCGAAACATCAAAACCTGCAAAATGAAGCAAGGAGGTAGGTAGGCACTTTCATTCGTGTTCTTGAAGTGTTTAATCAAAAATTATTATTGTATTTCCCATGCTTCATAATATATAATATAGTATTTTATTTTGGAAGCAAGGGTAAAGCCACGCTAGTAGTAGGGTTTATAGCTCCTATAAACTCACAAAATTAGATAAAAATATATTTAAGTTTCATAATAAATTTGGAAAATAAAATAATTGGTACGAGTTTAGCTTCCTAAATTGTCACGGTTCAAATTACTTGAGAGTAAACTTTTTAGGACTTTGCTACGGTGACATGCATGTTACGGTGACATGTAGTTTTCGGTCGATCTCATATAAGATTAGGTCGACATAATCTGTTGTTTCAGTGTAAAAGCAGTTTCATGGTGCCTACTTTGGAATTCATATCTTACAATTGGCTAGATGGAAATTGGAGATTAATGGCTTTATTTGAAGCTGAAGTGTCTAGAAGACCATTTTTGAACCTCATCAAAAGGCTATGCCAAAACTGGGAAACTGCCTGAAAATGACCAAGTCTGGGAACGTGTTTGTGAAGTCTACTTTGGAGCTCAATTTGAGAAGCATGGATGCGATTCGAGTCCAGGGGCCTAAACCACGTTAAATTAGGTATGTTTGTCTACAAAGGCAAGGCATTGGATGAAAGATTGGATATCTTTAAGACTTAAAAAAAAAGGCTCGAAGTTGCTACGAAAGCCGTTTTCTGGCAGCTTGCTTGTGCTCGAAGTTTGCCAGAAAAACAACCTTCGTAGCAACTTCGATCCTTTTGTTTGAAGCCTTACAGATATCCAATCTTTCATCCAATGTCTTGAATTTGTATAAAGACATACCTAATTTAACGTTGTAGAGGCCCCTGAACTCGAATCGTATTCATGCTTCTCGAATTGAGCTCCAAAGTAGACTTCACAAACACGTTTCCAGACTTTTCAGGCAGTTTCCCAGTTTTGGGATAGCCTTTTGATCAGGTTCAAAAATGGTGTTCTGGACTTCCTATCGTGCTCTAAATCACTTCAATATGTAGAGGGACACTCCATCTTCAAAACAAGCCATTAATCTTAAATTTCCATCTAGCCAATTGTATGAAATGAATACCCAAAGTAGGCACCATGAAACTCTTTTTACACTGAAACAACAGATTAGGTCGACCTAATCCTAAATGAGGTCGACCCAATCCTAACTGAGGTCGATCGAAAAGTGCAATTCACAGTGACATGCATGTCACCGTAGGAGCACCCAACTTTTTAGTATTCTTGTTCGTATTTTTGGCACAACTACTGCTTGTTTGTGTGGAAGCAATGATGTGGTGAACAATCTATATTTTATTTAAGGGATGACAACAGTTGTAAACAAGAAAAAGTAGGAATTACATGAACTCAAAAAAATGAGGTGAAAGAAAATAAATGAAAAACAAGAACACGAAACTGTGACGACAAAGGGAAATATAATAAGTGAAGCAATAGTATGCTTTTTTTGTAATGATTTCTCTCATTCTTTCATCAACCGGTATACATAAAAGTGTAACAAATCCACCCTCCTAGGATGGCCTTGCAGTGCATGTTTTGGTATTCCATCGTTACAGTAGAGTAGTTAATTTTTTCTCCGTTGATTGTTGGCCCCAAACAACGAATCCAGAGTGTAATGGAGTGAGTAGTTAATGTTTCTTGCACCATTTTGTGCAAAAATAGGGCCGCTGGGGGTCATCACGTGCGCAACAATGCTTTCGACCTTCGTACAAGAAAAAAACCCATTAATTCATACTAGCAGACTAATTAAAAAAAAAAAAAAAAAGAAGCAAGGATCAAATGCCTAACTCATTGTCATGCATATATGGATACCTAGATATGATCTCTTGTTTTGAAACTTCACAAAGTTGGTGATTCAGATTAAAATAGTTTTTTTATTGTTTATTTTCTAATCTTCTTGTATCTCTTTTGTTTTACTTATAATTTTGAACAAGTAACACAAAAGTCAAAAGACTAATTTAGTGATCTAGAAAATAATACCCATTTTCAGATAAACAATTATCGGGCCACCTATACTACCATCATTTAATAATATTACATTTCACCATGAAATAATTTCTCCTACACCACGGTATATAATGGCATGCTATTGACGTATTTTCTTTCTGCCTAATAAATATATAAAGTTGATGTTAATATAAGGAAAGAAAAATTGTGCATAGGTACTATTTATAAATCTTATATTACTCGCTACATAGTATCGAGGCAATTAATTAAATGTACTTGGAGTGGCGCGGTAAACAGCGACGTTAGCCTCATGATCAGTTGAAGGCATCGACCGAGCTGCAGCAGCTGCTGTAGCATTTGCGCCGATCATGATTACTATAAACGCAGTCGCCAGCATTACCAACACCCATACAGAAGAAGAAGCAGAGCTGATCAATCTCATCTTCTTCTGCTGATCTTTACCCATAATCACTCTTTCCTTTCTGCTGTTAAACAGAGGAAACAGTACCTTTGATATATATTAATGATGATGGATTATTGATAATGAAGAAACCTGGACGAGGGTTTCAATCCCTTTTATACTAAACATTTAGGCCAGTTTCGTTGGCCGGCATGCACAGTCCTGCAATTTTAGGCATCTCAAATTGAGCCAAGTAACATTAACATATGAATGTAGCTTTGAATAACAGAAGTACCGATGTATATGGTTTTTGGGTTACTTCCGGAAACGTCTTCTTGTTTCAGGTGTTTATCAAACTATGCTGCCGTGCGTCTCATACGCTTGGATACTACGTACAATGGCAAATACAAAGAGTTCGGACTAATCTGGAAAAGAAATGACATTACGATTTGTTCCACTGAATGTGGAGATATACATACCAATTATAGTATCTCGAAATCATGATCGTATTCTTTGATGTTTCCTCTGATTTGTTCACTTGTGTTTCTAGCTAGAATTCCATTTCATGTAAATAATAGACAATCAGTTCACATTTTTGTGACCAAATCAACTGATATTTTTAATACAATTATGAATAATTCATTCAATATAAAATATGGATATGCTTGTGTTGAGTGATAATGGGCCGCCATTGTAAAGCCCATAGTGCAACTCAGTTTGCGGTTGATCCGGTGCTTCATGACGACATCAAACAGTTCATGTTCACTACAATCTGTGACATGGTTCAAGATGGTGCTATTAGCTAGCCTCCAATGTGTCACATCCTAGGATCATATTGTATATTAAGGTATTTTCTACTTGCCATCATTCCTATTTTGCTGGCAAATTGATGAATTGAGACTTCCATCAATTTGGAGAAGATTATTGAATGATATAGGGCCATGATTGTATAGCCCATACGTAGTCGGTATGTATTTCGGACGTCCATATGTATGGAAGCGAGCTAGGGTTCTTGGTAGAGTACTATGTATGTAAATAGTATTTGTTGAAGTTGAGCTGAATAAGAGAAATATTAGCTTTGAGTTTAGACTAGTCTCGTTCATAGTGAACAGTGAAACCACATAAATCTCAATTTTGATTTTGATTATGTTCCTTACCGATTAAGTTATGATTTACACTATGTATACGCATTACTAAATAATTAATGTCAATGTCAATGAATTAAACACTATAGGAAATTCCTACAATACCTTGAAGTTATTGTAACTTGATATTTTTTAGGGTTAATTTGATAAATTGCCCCTCTATTTTTTAGGGTTAATTTGATAAATTGCCCCTCTATGTTTTAGGATGGTCCTTTTACGTAATGAATGGTAATCAAGTTACATAATGTGGTAAGTCATTATGGAAGTCTTACGTAACACTTCCAATTTAACTGTTACGTAAGAAATAACCTTCGTTACGTAACCTTTACGTAATGAGCATGTATGTTATGTAACAATTGTAAAATGTTAGTACGGAAGCCTTATGTAATAGACGATGCTTTTACGTAATGAATATTAACCTAGCGTTACGTAAAATGATAAGTCATTACGGAATCCTTCCGTAACGCTTCTAGTTTAACTGTTACGTAAGACTAACAAGTATTACATAATTGTTACGTAATAAACATTAGCTTTACGTAATGCAACCTGTAAAACCTGCTATAACAGGTCAAGAAGGTCAAGTTATAGTAACTTCAAAGCATGATAGGAGGTCCCAACACTATATTCACCTTATCTTGTGTTGGGCCATTACATCTCTCCTCTTGCTCCTCTCAAGTCTCAACTACTCTCTTCCCCTGTCATCTTCACTTTTCAACTGGATTTGACTACTACACTTAAATTTGTATTGGTTTCTTTGACTCTCTATATCTACTTATTTTTATTTGTACTCTCTCTCCATTTTTTTCTCTAACTTTATTTCATTTATTATCTATCTAAGGGAGTTAACATATATATATGAAACTTTGCAATGAGGTCACAATCAGGCTGAGATTGTGGCTATAAAAATTGAGGAATTTGTTGAAGTGACGAGAGAGACTGTGATATGTTATGTAGTGCAAGAGAGAGTTACCCATTGATAATTCGATACGAAAGAAATTAATTTAAGCGAACGGCAAATTTGCTTAAAGTATGATTTTGCAATTCAATTCTATGCACTTATGAAGATTTGAACGAGACATTCCGATTAAAGGAGTTTAGTTGGAAATGAACTCTACGTATAATTCATTTGATTTCCAAACTGTCCACAAGACCTTGTACAATCCCAGTGCTACATATTCTAGGTTGGGTTCATAGAAATATATGCACATTTAACAATTAAGAATATGCTACCCGTCACAAAAAAAAAAAAATGCTACCCAGGATTTGATGTAAAAAATTCAGAAGTACCACTGTTAAAAAAAAAAAATTCCAAAAATACCACCCAACCCAAAAAATTCCAAAAATACTACTTTTTTCAAAAACCGCCACCCCACCCTGTGGTTTACACGAAAACCGCTGGGCGGGGGCGCTGTTTTCTATGCAAACCGCTGGGCTAAGGGGCGGTTATAAAAAGCGCTGGGTGGGGCGGCGGTTTTGGGCCAAACCGCCACCCCACCCAGCGGTTTGGTCCAAATTTCTTTTTCGATCAACTCCTAGCTTCTGCCGAAACTTCAAATGAACGTTATTTTGCACTCGGGTATCCGATCGTAGCGATTTTTTTTCATTTCGCATAACTTTTCAAGATCTACAACTTTTACTAGGATGAAATTTTCAAAACAGGAATTAGTTGTGGATATACGGGACCTTGGGAATAATTTTGCCTTTACTTTTCACCATGTAAATTTCGAAATTATGATCATCTTAAAAGTTGTAGATCCTGAAAAGTTATGTGGAATATAAAAAAATTCATGACGTTTGGATTTTGGAGCACAAAGTTATGGCTGCCCAAAGTTTGACGAAATAAAAAAAAAAAATCGCTACGATCGGATACCCGAGTGCAAAGTTACGTTCGTTTGAAGTTTCGGCCGAAGTTAGGAGTTGATCGAAAAAAAAAAAAAATTTTGGCCCAGAACCGCCGCCCCACCCAGCGGTTTTTATAACCGCCCCTTAGCCCAGCGGTTTGCATAGAAAACCGCCCCCCCTCCCCCCGCTCGGTTTTCGTGCAAACCGCAGGGTGGGGTGGCAGTTTTTGAAAAAAGATGGTATTTTTGGAATTTTTTGGGGTTGGGTGGTATTTTTGGAATTCTTTTTCTAAACAGTGGTATTTCAGGAAAAAGTTCCGATTTGATTGATATATATTGTCAATACCATCATCCACTACAACACAACTTTTATTCTAACAGTTTGACTAAATACTATATATTAGTGAAACCTTTCACCGTTTACAACATATTAACCAAATCTTTGAGAATACGAAATATTAGTCATATCTCTCGTAACAATGCAAAATTATGGTCATCTTTCGGTTAAAGTTTACGTCAACCTCACCATTATACATAAGGTAAGCATCATTTCACATATTTCTAAATAAAAGCAGTTGAGTGTTTGGTTGAAAAACTATTAGAATTTTTTTTAACATATAAGAGGTCATCTAAAATGATGAAAAAGAATTTTGAATATAAAATATAATAAATGAAATTGAATCTTGTTAGATTTATTTATATTAAATAATATTATTTGTAATTTATTGTATTCTTAAAATAATATAAAGGAAATAAAATCATATTTAACTTTTGAAGTAGAAAAACACTTCTAAAAATCGGATTAAACATAAACTATGTGTAATTAGGAGACAAAATATGCAGACCACCAATTATTTTGTTATCTACTATGGATCAAGATTCCATGATTGGTTAAAAACATGCATATGAATTATTATATAAAAAAAAAAAAGAAGAACCAATATTTCAGCTGAAGTTAGTGAATTCGATTTCAGTAAAAATAATTGGGTTTGGGTTGCAAAATCCCAATAGCTACTCTCTCACTTTACCGCAAAGTTAGTGTCCAGACTCTACATAGACACCAGGCAGGCTGCCCACGGATTAGTATGATACAGAACGGTTAAGCACAACATGCGTACATACACTAAATATATGAGCCAATGCAAGAGTATGGATAATTTATGAGTTGTGTCGGACCTAAACTTCATGAGTGTGTGCATGACTTAGGTAACCAGTTCGCGAAGCGAGAGCGAGAAAAAGAGCATGAGAGCGCCTATTTTAAAAGAACTCGAAATAGATAACGTGCACAGAGTGTCATTATTATATTATTAGTATAAATTATTTTTTTATCATAGTTAATAATTAATACAAAGAGTACTACATTAATATTTAACAAATATATCAATTAATTGAAGGAGAGTTCTACGGTAGCCAGGGTGAAATCCGGGGTACCGCATACCTTGAGTAAGAAAACGCTATTCAGAACTTGAATTTACTGATCTTTTGGACATGATACTATACTCTAACCCTTAGAGATCAAAATCTAGGTCTTAATTTTCTAAATCTTATACCCCAAGATCAATTTAATTAGAAATAATAATCGACGGTTATGATTCGTCCAAATATAGGCAAAAAAATCGATGCGCCATCTTAGGGTTTATAGTTTATGATTTAGATAATTAGGACCTAGGCTTCACTCATTAAGGGTTAGGGTATAATATCATGCCCAAAAATCTTGCTAATTCGAGATCTAGATAGCGTTTTCATACTTAAGGTATGCGGTGTCCCGAATTCCACCCGGGGTACCGTAGAAAGCACCACTAATTGAAATAAATATGGGAAAGTAATAAAAAAGAGGATTGCTAAACGTCGCCCTAACTTTTATTAAATTGCCCTAACTATAAAATTAAAATTACATTTTTATCCTTATATTTTTTATTGTTAGAATATATTTTATCCTAACGAGCATAACTCATCACCCAATAAACAAAATAAAAATGTTGACCCGAGAATCTGATTCACCACTGCCATTATTCATCATTGTCGTTACCGGATGCCGCCACCATTACCCACCTCCGGCAAAGTGCAAAAGGCGACCAAC